AGGGCAAACCTTGATTCAAGGGAAAACATTCCTAAGTAGATGTGCTTGTGCCAAAACTGAAAATTGATATTCTGACTCAACTGAAAGCCTAAGCCCTTTCCAGTAAAGACCTTTCATGGAAGCATTTAAGGACAAAAAATATTATTATTCTAAGCTTTTCCATATTGTTGCTATTTTCAAGTGGCAAAGGCAAAAGCATTTCTAGAGCAATGTCACACCGAATGCCACTGTGTCTATTTTTTTTATGACTGTCAGGAGCAGCCTTAATATTTGGAAATTATTAAAGTTTTCCTGTTTACCTTAATTCAGGCAAACTATGAGAGAATTCTCTTCCCTTCTGGCTTTTGTTCTTTTTCCATCTGTGTCCTTTTTGATTTCACTAACACGTTTGTCACTCTGCTTCAGTCGTCTCCTGTCTTTCAACACGACACTCTCTGTCTAAACACTCCCGGCTTCGCCGAGAGCGAAATCAAGAGATTTCACTCCTCATTCCTCTCCTGAAAAAAGGGTTCCCAAAACTCTGCTGTCAGGAGACAATAGCCACTCTGGCTCCCATTACCACCCCTGCACGTGTGTTGGGAAATTCGTGAATCTGTGTGTAGCTGAGAAGGTAACACAGAAACAGAACATGCTCAAGGGACGGTGTGGGTTTTCTTTTTTCCTCTTTTCTTTCTTTTTTTTCCTTTTTTCTTGAAATAAGCTACAGAACTCGTTCCAATTACCCTTATGGATCTTCTAAGTTTGCTCATTCATTTACATAATATTCTGTCTTCGTTGCAGGCATAGATACAGAGCTCACAGAAAAATGGGAAGGGAAAAAAATAGAGTCTTGGGGTTCTTACTCCCAGAAGTACAGATAAATCCTTTTTTTTTTTTAAGGTTTTAACTGAGTTTCTACCCTAGTGTGCTCTTTTAAGCTTAAAAGTGATTAAACAAGATTTACAGAAAAAATTAAATTATTTTCTATTTGTAATACTTGCCATAACGAAGTAATTCCACAGATTTCACTTTTTGATCTTTAATTCTTTAAGAAAATTAATATCATAATTAAAAGATTAAAGTGCACAGTTTCACCAAAGAACATATTCTCCATATACACTATTAACTTTCACAAGCGAATTCATCATTTTTGGAGGTGGGGAGCAGGGCTTACTACGGTAGATTATGTGGCAATTGCAGTAAAAAAATTCAGTTTAGTTCTTAAAACTTTTTTTTTTTTCTGGAATGTGCTGGTGTCTTTGCTCAGAGAGAGAAAGAAATGATTTCAGAATAACTCTGAGCGCAGTGGCGCGGCCAGCAGCGAGCGCGAGTGTGGGAGTGTGCTCTGCACAGACAGCTGAGAAGTGAGCAGCACTCCTCCCAGAGAGAGCTCTGGGTAATACTGATCCTCTGTGCACCAGGAGTGGGAGGAGAGCCGTGCAAATCCTTTTGTTTCAGCAGGGAAGTAGGATTTTCCAGAGAGCACCAAAACACAGAGTAAAAACCAAGCAGGGGACGAAGCCATGGCGGCTCTTGGACGCTGGCACACACACAGAGCCCCACAATGGCTGGCACACAGTGCAGGTAGGGACAGAATCCCAGAACTGGGGTGGAAGGGGCCCTAAAGCTCACCCAGTGCCACCCCAGCCATGGCAGGGACACCTTCCACTGTCCCAGGGTGCTCCAGCCCCAGTGTCCAGCCTGGCCTTGGGATCCAGGGGCAGCCCCAGCTGCTCTGGGCACCCTGTGCCAGGGCCTGCCCACCCTGCCAGGGAACAATTCCTTCCTCATCTCTAATCTAAACCTGCTCTCTGTCAGTTTGAAGCCAGTTTCACATCCCCATAGTGTTTCATTCCCGTTCTAGATAGTCAAAATAACACCTGACATTCCTATAATACATCTCTAGCCAGGAGCATGAGACCAGGTCTAAGGCACCTATTAGAAAAACTGCATCATGTTAGAACTTTAGAACAATGAAAGGTTAAAGCCTTCATCTGTATTTCATGCATTGCCTTCCCCTGAGGCCCAAAAATAAAATGCCTTGTACTGCATCTTCATTACATAAGCACTATATATAGAGAGCATATGAGTTCCTCTTCTGTTTCAGAGGAGAAAATTGATATAAGCATTTTGAGGAAAGAAAAGGTTCAGCAGAACTTTGTTTTATCCTGCATAAGAATACTGCCTAGTGATGTCTGTGTTGTACAAAAGTCAAGGCAAGAAATTGGCAGTGGGTGGAGATCTCTTTAAGGGAATTAAGTAAGTGGATAATGGAAGTGAAATACTCTTAGCAGGGGGAAAGTAAAAATTCCTTGAACTCTGCAAGGAGACAATTTTTTTTTGGTAAACATTACAGAAGAGCTAATCTAATTTTAAGAGGGCTAAAAAAAAACTTCAAAAAACCTGAAATAATTTACAGAGAATCTTTTCCTTCATCTTTTGATGTTGCTACCTGTGGGTGAAGGGAAGAAAGCAGAAGGAAATAGTAACAGCAACATTAATGAAGGGTAACACTCTCATATTCCACTTCCCAGCCTTGACATTTGGTTCCATCAGAGTTTAAGACAGACTCCACTGCCTCTGCTTCAGAGCCTTCCCACTCACTCCTGTCCCATTAATGCAATCAGGAACATTCTCTGAGTTTTGAAGCAACAGCAGAGAAATAGGTTTTGTTTCTCAACAAAAGAGCAGGAGTGCACATGGGTGCTTCTGTAGAGCAGCAGCTTGGAAACCTGCACCCCTAGGAATGTCCTGTAAAACACCTGGAAGGGCCAGGGGTCCTAAGGGATAAATGTGCCAAACTCTCAGTTACAGTAATAAACCCCAGACCTGTCAGACAATCTATTGCAAATCTCTACCTCACAGATTGTTTTAGTCATGGTAACAATCATTTTTGTTGTTAGAACACACTTGTTTCTGGACAAAACTCTTTCATGCAGCCTAATAAACCATAAGAACCTGGAACTTCATCATTTCAGAGGCAGTTCAGTGTCTCTTTTTCCCAAAATGCTTGGGGAACAGATGAAACATTTTCCTGTGGAGCCAGCTCCTTTGCTATTCCCTAAAGTACATCCAGCCATTGGTCATTTCTGCTACAATGACCTCTATAATCCTCTATAATTGTTTTCCTAGATGAAGTTTTAACTTATAATTCCTCTCTCATTACTTTTCTTCACACTTTTCCCTCCTCTTTCACTCTTTCTCCATTCTTACTTTACCTCTCTTTCACTAAGATTTCATCTTCTGTTCTCTTTTATTCCCTTACTCTCATTGCATTTACCATCTTTTAAACCTCATGTTAACAATTTATTAGATTTTTCCTCATCTCCTGATTAGTTTCCTCTCAAAGTTTTCAGTTTTGGGGTTTTTTTTCCTCTTCTTCTTTATAGTGAATACTGCTTGGATAAAGGCCATGTCTTTATCACAGAATATAAATATGTACAGAAATAAATATTTTTATATCTGTTTTGTGATCAGAAACCATCTTTTCTTTTCTCGCACATATCTTTCTCCTTTTTCTCCTAGAATACTACATAAATCCTATTTACATAAGGAATGACAGCATTCAATTTTCCTTCCTCCTTCTCCCATACAGTTTTGTTTTGGTTTTCTCATTTTATTTAATTAAGTCATTTGCTCACCTAGAGCTTGGCTGAAATATCTTCTGAAAGCAGGTCGATATTATGTTTGTGCTGCTCTATAATTAAAAGTAACTCAATGTATAAAAGCTACGGTTTGGTAAAAGAATTGAAATTCAGGCTCAAAAATTCACATATCATTTTTGGCACAATGAAGATTTGAAAATCTGTTGGAGCAGAGTTGATTTAAAAGGTGAAGCCTCAGGTATGACCATGCACTCACACTTGTATTTGCCATTGACTTGATGGAACTCTCTGTGCTGTGAGAGGATGGTTCTGGCTCCTCACATTTCTCCTCTTTTTTAGCTAAATAAACTCTCCAAACCAGAGAGAGTGATGTTTTTGAAACTCTGTGATAGGATGTTGCTTTATTCCACAAAGTGCCTTGGCACTCCTTCAATTACCTTGCTTTGACAGATGTAGACAAATCACTCAAAAGCACATTATCCTCAACCTAACACTAAAATGCATTAGAATTTCCTCTGCATTTCATGGCCAGATTTTGATGCCTTTGCTCATGCTGAATTTTTGTATTGCCCTAAAATGGGTTCTCTCATTTTGGTGGGTTTGCTTCCCTTTGGTTTCAGTGACAGCTGATCACGAGCTGCACTCTCTCTGTGTCCTGGGGAGAGTCAATATCTGCCTCTGTAAGGATCTTCACTTGCACACACAGGGCCAAACTATGCAGAAAAGATTCTAATATATTAATCCATGAAGAAATAGATTCACACTAATCCGACAAAATGAATAAATATAAGTAAAATATATTAAGAAGATTATGTTCTTCTCCTTTCTCTTTTCTGCTTTCACACAGTAATTTCCCTTTTCACCATCTTTTTCCACAGCTTTCTCTGCTTTTCCCTTCCATCATCCATGCAAATCCTGTGGCTAATTGGTTAAGTCCACTCTACAGCCTAACCATCAATTCCCAGACACAGCATCTTTCATTTCAGTGTTTTTCCCTGATTACAGTTGCACTTAGAGGAAAACAAATAAGTATGTATCAATGCCCTGCAAGTGTAGGAAAACAACAAACAGATAATTAAACATCAACAAAATATCAATAGGATTAAAGCATCATGCTGAAGCAAATCTTGATAAATCCTTCTCAATAACAATTCTCTAACTGCAGTGTCAGAAGGGAAATATAAATTTAGCCCATTAAAGTGTTGTTGGACAGAGACATTAATACAGCTGTTAATCATTTCCTTACTACTGAGGGACTCGACTATTGTGCTGCAGATGAAAGCTCCGGCCAAGAAAAGATTTGAAAATATGCAAATGAATGCTAACAACATAATAAATACCTTATTATTCATCACCAACTCAACAGCCTCCTGGCACAGCCCAGGCTGTGAGCAGGGAGAGCTCACCCATACGTACCCACAACAGACATTTCTGGCACCGTGGCGTGGTAGGGGCCCTCCACAAACTCAGGAGCGTTGTCATTGATGTCCTGCACCTTGATGATGAATTCTGAGGGGGGCTCCAGGGGCTGGTTTGTGTCCCTGTCCACAGCCTGGGCTGTCAGGGTGTACTCAGCCTTCTCCTCCCTGTCCAGTCTCTTCATGGCGTGGATGTCTCCAGTCTTGTCGTTGATCACAAAGATGGTTCCAGCTCCATCTCCTGACAGGATATATTTGATTTTGCTGCTGCCAGGATCCAGGTCTGTGTGTAGCTAAAAAGGAGAATAAGGGAAAAAAAAAGGCATTTTAGAGACAAAAAACATACACACAGATTTTTGGGTTTTGGTTTTTTTTGTTTGTTTTTTTTTTTTTTGCTTTGGTCTAACTATACATTTTGTCAGCTGATCCTTTGTGCTTCAATCCCAGCACCACTGATCCACAGCTCAGCTTGAATACACATGGAGAGCAGGGATTTGTATGCATACTAATCAAAAATTGATGCAATCATAGGCATAATTAGACTTTCTATTTAAAAAGCAGCTGTTATATATACTTTAAATCCCCATTCTAAAATGTAAATGCCTTCAGAACCATTATCAGCCCAGATGAACAAGTACAAAATGTCCTTAACCTATTAGATCAAAGGGCGAGGGAAGGGTTAACCATAACATATGTTTTAATCTAACCTCTTATTACTTTCAACTTATTTCCAGGTGACTGGAAATGGTTGAACACTGGCATCTATGGAATCTTGTCACAGACAGCAGTCAGAGAAATTAAAAACCCTATCATAACTCAGATCTTTGCAGAACTTAAAAGGTTCTAAGATCTTTATTCCAAAAGTACATGCCCTGGTAGAAGAACTCTTGCACACATCTTCCCATTCTCCTCAAAGCCTCTCAGGAAAAAAAAATTGTATTAAATTTGTATTTGGCTTTTCAAAAAACAAGAGAGAATTATAATAAACAGAAGCAGTATGAGAAATACATTATTTATTTTTAATGTTTCTATTAATTAAAAACCAGGGGACAAAGTACTTTCATTGATTTTTGGTAGGCTCAGAGCCAAATACTGCATATCAGATTATCTCCAATAATTTTTAAGTTGTGAGAATGGGAATTGCTTGGATCATATGTAACACTATCAACACATTCAAAAATACAGGACAATAACTTGAATACCCAGTAACAGGGGCTTAAATTCTGTTTACTGTTAGGTCCAACACACTCAATATGATCAATAAGAAGTGAATAACGTCATTAAAAATGTAACTTGCATCTATTATTATTTATCTCTGCCTCACAAAAGACACTCTGAAGGAAATATGTACAACTTGCTTAGGTTGCAGCATGAGTTACAACCAGCACTAAAGGCTTTTACCTGTTTGCTCATTCTGTGCAGACAGCTCAACAGAAGTTGCTGCTGGTTATGCATTTTACTCTCAATTGATAGCAGGGGTTGCCAGGGCCAAGCAGCAGCATCATTTAGAATAAGAGCTGGCATTAGGATATTAAAATAAGTGTGGAGAAAAGCCTTGTAACACTAGCTACAGCCAAACCACAGGAGATTCTTATGGCACAAGTGGCTCTGCAGGTCCTTCTGTCCACAATTGGTCACGAGCAGTTGTATCTGCAGCTCACCTGTTCAGGAATTCAGCTGTTCAAGGGCTCAGCAAACACAAAGCTCTGTCTGTTCAATGAGCACAGTGGACAGCAGCAGCCAGGCCTGATTTGTCTGTTGATCTGGTTTGTTACAGACACAAAATCCTGGCCACCAGTGCATCCCCAGTGCAATCCTGGCCACCAGTGCATTCCCAGTGCAATCCTGGCCACCAGTGCATTCCCTGCTCTGCAATAATGGCACAACTCCCACGAACCACACGAGCTGTAAACTCATCCTCTCTGTTTTGCTGGGCAGCATTTTATTACCCCACCATTGTTTTAACAACTTTTTCAGAGCACTTTAGCTGTGAATATGGATGACTCAATCCAGTTCACTCTTCCTACCCAGCCCACAGGAACGTACACAGAGATGTCAAGTGACAGCTGAGTCCCTTTTCCAAAAGTTCAATCTGCTTTTCTTTTTGCACCTGCCATCAGCTCCTGCTTGAGAACAATCAGCCCCATTTACTGAGCCACTGCCCTCTCCTCTTGGTTGCTGTCACACTTTGCTCTGCTCAGAAAGTTAACACAACTCCTTTTGCCTTTAAGATTATTTTCCTTATGACCCTTAATTTCAGGGCCCCAGAGCCTGTAAAGATCAATCCAGAACCTGTGTTTTAAACAGATTGTTTATAATTTAAGCATCTGTTTGCTCCCTGAATAAAATCTATATGGCATTAACATTGCATATGAAGGTTTTGGCAGCATGTTCAGAGCTGAGTTAGAGTGATGTAATATCACAGCATTGTCTGGACACCCACAGCTCAGCAGAGGAACTGGGAACATCTCAGCTCACCCAGCCACACAACAAAAAGCTAAAATCTGAACTTTTAAGAATAAACCAGATATCCCACATAGATATTTGAGAAGGCTTAAACATTCTAGAATTTGCTATTTGCTAATAACTAAGAGAGGCTGTCTGTGTAATCTCAGGTTTTACCCATAATATCCAAGAGCAGTTGTGGTTCATAAATCAGTTCTGGTAGATATTAATGCAAAGCTATAAAACCTTTGTAGTTCCAGTGATATACCAACAGTTAAAATGATAAAAATGTCTATGATTACCATTAATAAGATTTCCTCTAATAAGTTAAATTCCATTGTATCAAAAGCAAGAATTGCTATTTGTTATTCAAGTATTGCTATTTGAAACACTAAAAGGTAAAGGGCTAAACATAAAGTACAATAGATAGGAACATTTTATAATAATAAAGTTGAAACTAAATCTGATGAGTGGAAGATCAGTTTTTTTACCCAAAGATTTATAGGTGGGATATATAGATTTATATAAGTGGGATTTATTTTTAGGTTTTGTTTTGTTTTAGTTTTTAGTTTTTTAATTAAAAAACCCAAGACACAAATGTGGCATTTACTACAATCTATGGGGAGCATCCAAACTGACTTAAATAATTAAGATAACTTTTCTAGGTGTTGAAGTCCTCATACTCTAATATCAAAATATACTAACAAATTACCTATGGAAGAGCCACTTCTCCAAAATCACTTTATTGTTTAGATTTAAGATTAGGTCATCATCACCTACTACAACAAAGTTATATCACAGACTGAAATCTTCAGTCAGATAGCACAGCATTTTTCCCCAGTAATATTTCCTCTCTCCTACCAGACATGAATGATAATTTACTGCAAGAGTCAAGCTTCAGCAAGCTGTGTTCGTGTGAAGGGTGAAGATCATTAAACACATAATTATATAGGATCTAGGTGAATGATAGAAGGGCATAATGAATATGAGAAATGAATAGTGCTTTCTGCTCAAAAAGCCTCACAAATGTAAATATGAAACCGCTTTCCACATCTGCAGCTTTATTTGCTGCACCTATACTTGAAAGCTGACCTTTTTCAGAGCAACATCCAGATGCAACAAGAATTTCTGCTTGAAACAGAAAATGTCTGTATCTGCCCCAGTGTCCCACTGCCAGAGAGCACCCCAAAACAAACAAACACATTTACTGGAGAACCTCATCTTGTTCAGAGAGAGGTAAAATCACTTCCATTATGTGAGATTCACTTCATTAGACTTCAAAGGAAGTGAAATCATCTTCCTCCATCACTGCCCTGCCTGGGGGACTATAAATCCACACACCTCTCTCTCTTAAAGCAGCAGATGCAAGCCCATCACCAAATTCATGCCTGGATTTATGGAGACAGGAGTGACTTTGGAGCAGCTCTGAGTTTTAATGGTGATGCAGATGCCCTGTATTAATACCATACTAATAGCTCCCCTGTAGCCTCAGCACAGATCATTTTTTTCCCTAAAAAATTACCTTCATTCCAAATGAACCCTCAGACTAGAGCAATTTCTAGTCTTTATTAATTCCTTTGCTGTTCTATCTGATAATACAGATGGTAGTCAATGAAGCCAGGACTAACAGGAACGGCACACACTGGGTGCTGCCACAAAATTAACATTGTTTTCACTAATGCACATCTAAAATCTTGCCAACACACTATCCAAGGGCATAAAATGCATTTATAGTCTTTCAAGTATATACATTGCAAGCATGTATAATTAAAATCCATGCCAGAGAAACTGCAGAGATGAAACTGATTCTAAGAGCCTCTGTATTCTGCAGGTGCAAAAGTGTTATTCTGCAGTAGAACACAACTCCAGGAGCGTGGGACTCTTATTAAATTTTCCTATTCCATAATTCTTTGTTCAGCATATTTCAAACGAGGTTTTTTTAGCAAGTCCTTGGCTCCAAACTGCATTAGCAGCCAGGGGTTTAATGCATGGACAAAGGCTGGGAGCGAGGTTGGTGAAGCTGCTTTGCAATTCTGAGCAGACTCAGAGCCTCCTGTGCAGATGGGAGCTGTCTCACCTGCTCTCACTCAGCTACCTGGCAAACCCATGGCAGCCAAAACAACAGGTTGCTCAGCACAAAGAATTCCATGTGTTCACCATCAGGAGAGTGCACCCTGCACCTGGGGCTGGGCCATGCCCAGATGAGCAGAAAGCTGTTGGTTTTCCTCTGCAGGAGGATTGGGCACTTCCAGCCCTCTCAGGTGTGTGGTGCTGATGCACAACTTGATACACAACAGCCCATAATAGATCCCTCATCAGTGGGAGGAGCTGTAATCCCAATTTCCTAGTATCAGTAAAAAAAAGCATAAATATAAAGATATTTCGTGTGGGGAAGCATCTACGCATTATGAAAATGCTCCTGGACATTCTTAATTAAGGCAAGAGAAGGCGGTATTATGTCGTCAAGTTTTTATTTGAGTTTGTTAGAAAGTAATTAATTCATCCTCATGTAATTACAAGGGAATTACCCCGTACTTGTTTCAAGGGAAAAAGAATCATCTGTCCTTAAAACTTCATTTGAAAATTTGCATCACCCTTCCCTGTCCTAACTCTGGAATCTTTTCTTTTAAGGGTGCCTCACTGATTTTCACCTGATGTTTCACAGACACCAGCACTGTCCTAATGCTTCAGGTTCTTCTTCTATTTTTTACCTTTGCCTTGCAATAAAATTCCTCATTTACGAGGCAGACCCCATTTAATGGACTTTGAGATGGAATTTTCAGCTTTTTATGACTCTTTTCTGAAACTGCTGGCTTCTAAGAAGCTCTCACTCATTCTGTGAAAGTAT